CATATATATACACACACATGTGGCACATTAATTTTGTTCTTACAAATGTACATTTAAAATTTAAGAGTAATGCAATAACTTGATGGTATTTTAAAGGTACAAATACCTAAAAATCACCAACAATTTTTACGTTGGAAACTTTACAGTACTGTTTTTGAACATACTTTTCACAGTTAATTTTACATCAAATATGTGAACATTGGTATCATAATTTTTAGGACAGGTAAGTATTTTGAAAATATTAGGCATTTAAATGGCTTTTCACTGTGTTACATTTATTATAAGGAATTTGTAATATCTCCGACTAGATGTATTACAGTTTGCTAATTTAGTGGTCTATTTTGAACATTTTAGATTTTTTTTAGGTTTCTCAAAATAGTTTTTATTTCCCAGTATAATTTCTGAGCAGAATAACTGAAACAAGGAGAACAAGTATTTTATGTCTTACACACATATTAAGATTGTTTTGCAAAGAGGTTATATAAATTACCAGTGCTTCTGGTTTTGTGTGCAAGTACTAGTTTCATGTGCCTTCATTATCCCTGGGCGTCCGCCCCACGTGCGTGCGCTTGTGTGCAAGTTGATTAGGGAACATCTTTGTTCGGAAAAAGAGTCTGGAAAGGCGGTACTCTGCAAAGGGCTCTGTGTACCTAGTTTGTTTCTTATGCTGGGCCCTGGGATGCTGATTGTTACTCAGAGACTTACATTTAAGCTGATGGCAAAGTAATTGTGGATTTGACCATTATTTTCAATGGCAAAAACTGCAGTTACTTTTGTACCAACATAATACATAGCAATATTTGCATTTATTTGTTAACTTGAGCCTAAAATAATTACCACTTATAAAGATTTCATGGACAGGTTAGGCAAATACTATTTACTTATTAAAGATATCCATGAAACTTCTTTTAAGTAGAGATACTCTACAGAAAATTATAAGACAAACAGCAGATTCTACCCCTATTCATTCTTTGCCACCTCTCACTCACTTGCTTACCCTACCAAAGAAACCCTCCACAGCTGGTCTGCATGAGAAAGTAGACGTTAGCAGTCAGCATGAAACTATTAGAAGTAAAGTCAGCACTTTAAAAAAGTAAAAGTGAACTTAACTGGAATAACTGCTGTTACAATGGAAAAATGCATTTTTTAGAAATATCAATATGTACTTATTTCTAATGAGATTTGAGAAACTATGGTCAGCAAAATGAGAATTAGGTCCCATGAGAAAGTCACACTTCAACAAAGAAAAAGACTATTTGCAAATATAAGACTCTTTAAAAATAAGAGTCTGATAACTAAACTTGAAAATCCAAAAATAGTAAAAAAAAAAAAAATAGAAGGGCTCTACAGAAAGAAAAACTGATGATATAAAAATAAATATCACAAAGTAGAGAGTAAAAGGAAAAACATGAAAATTATAGCTGAAAAACAATGAGAGGCTATTTCAAGGATAACTGGGGTTTAAACGGTAGGCATTCCAGAGAAAGGGAAGATAATTGATAGAGGAAAGAAAATATAAGGTTAGACATAAAAGGAACACAGGTACATGGATAAGAATAATGTAGCAACCCAATAAAACTATTACATTTTACAGAAGAGAAAAAAAATGTTCAATAAACAAATGAAAAAATGCTCAACTATGCAGTAATCAAGGGTGTGCCAGGTTGACATCTATAAGATGGTGGGGCTTCAGCCTTTCCTTTCTTCCACAGATATACCAAAGAAATATCAATACACAGATCGGTTCTTTCTGAGAGGCAGCCAAAGACTAGTTGAAAGACTCCTACACATCAAGCAACTGAGAAAATATTCACTGATAACATGTGGGAAGAACTGAAACATGCTCCCACCATAATCCCCATCCCAGGGATAGCACCTTATAATTGGTAAGAATTCCCAACTCCTGGCTTCTCCCTGAGGAGTGAAGGGTTCGGACTACACATAGTACCCTGGTCTTTATGATTCCCACCCAGGGGTTTGTTACCCAGCTCGGGGTTGATAGAGCTGGGCATCTGCAGGTCTCCCTAAACCACAGAGACCAAAAAGATGGTTTGACACAGATTTGCAATCACTTTCGGCTGCTGTCTCCCGGGGCTCAGGTCAGAGCAGGCAGGCAAATGGCCACCTCCTGGTTTCTACCTACAAGGAGTTTTCCCATCTGCTGCCTGAGGGTTGACTTCCGAGTCTGCATCTGGGAGCCAAAAGGGCAGGGTGAGCAGGAGCTCACCCTGTGGGAGCCTGAACAGGACTGTAGTTAGGCACTGTGCCTGCTCCTCTCAGCTAGCTCCATCAACATGTCCAGGTCTCCACCTTCTCCCTAGAAGGAGAATACATCAAGCATGCTTTTAAATCTGACACCTGAGAGACTGGCTCCTACACCACTGATCTCTGGAAGTGAATACAAGGCAGGAGAAATGCAGAGGGAATTGGAAGTTGGATAAAGGGCAGAATGAATAAAAACAGAAACAGAAGCAAGGAGAAGGGGCGGGTGAGCAAGGAGCAGGGTAAGAGGCAGAAGTTAAGCAACCAAAACAAAAAGATAAGAGTACAAGAACCCCATGGCCAGCAAGATCCAGATCAAACCAGTAAAGGGCAGCTCTTCAGGGATAGGCATGCACATTAAAGAGAAAAAGTATCCTGAACATGACCCTGTATGACAATCAGCTCATTAAAGCTCATGCATATGGACTGCATATCATGTATAGTCTTAAAATTATGGGCTGGAGGCAACATGTAAGCCGGCAGAGGCTAAAGTAAGCAACACACCTATCAATCAAAAGCCAGACACCAGCTTAAGATTAGGCAGCCTTGGGAATAGAAGAAGGAAAAAAAAAACCAACAACATTAAAAGACCCAAAGTACACCAAAGTAATGCTGATCTCATTTCGCAGAAGTCAGCCCACTCTCCCCTCTCCCCTCTCCGGAGTGTAATGCTGTGTTTCACACACTTCTGCTGCTAGCTTTGCTAGTTGAGTGTCACATCAACTAGCAAAGCAAGCAGCAGAAGTGTGTGACACCCCTTTTGTTGAGGACACCAAAAGCCTGGAACTGCATAGCACCATCGGGTCACAGATGGGGCTCTGCATTTTGTGAGTCTTCTAAGGCCACTGAGAACAAATAGGTAGTTTTAAAGGGGCATGAGAGCACTTCCAGGGGGTATTCCTTCAGGTTTAGCCCACAGAGAACAGGCAGCAACTCCCAGCTCCCAGTCTCTCCCCAGAAGGCATTTGCCTGCACACTCTCTCAGCCGGGGCTAGAGAACAGGGCTTTTAACCAATCTTCATGTAGGAGCTGATGGAGCTGATGGAGAATGGGTTTGACCGCACACCTAACATCCTGACTACATTTCACAGTACTCAGAATATTCCATTTCACAGTACCTAGAATAGAAGTAGGTACTCAAAAAACGCTTTTTAAATAAAAGAACGAATTATTTGAATTCCTTCCAATGAAAGTTTATTATATCCACATTTACTAGCACAAATTGTGTGATTTTGAAGATTCTGTTCATCTCAAGCTAAGTCATCTTCTGTAAGATCACGGGTAGCATTTTTGACATTTATTTTGCCGCAATAAAACATTTGAACTGTCTAGCACAAGTGGCAATACCTCCGTTCCCTGCTGCTCAGACACTTCTGCAAAAAACCTGCACCTGACCGGACATCATGGCCCAGAAGAACAGGTAAGTGGCAGAGCTTTGCTTCTATGTCAGCGACATCAGTTCTGATGTAAACAGCAGGCGTCTTTCTTTTTAGAGCAGTAGCCTACTTGTGTTTCCATATAATTACAGTATTCTTGACAGAAGCCTTCACTTCTCTTGCAGTCAACAACTTTTAAATCTGATGGAGGTTCTGCATTAAAAAAAAAAAAAAAACATCCAACATTAGCTTCTTAAGACCATCTCCAGAATCAAACAGTGGTCGTTTCAGCCCTAAGAGATACGGTGGGAGTGGCATGGGTATGAAACAGCTTTCCATAGTTAATAGCTTCGAGTTCTAAACTGAAACATCAACTCCAGATATATAGCTCTGCCCTGCTAAATCTCCTCTAACCAAAGGAAGTAATAATCCTTTCTCATGGGAATGCTGTTATCCACCTATTGCCCCTGTTTATATCTGTAGTGCAAAAAGTGAGTTTCCTTTTTCCCTTTCCTTGGAAGGAGATCCAAATGAATGAGTCCTTTGGAACTGAGGGCCAATTAGAAGGGGATGGGAGGTTGGCTAGGATGCTGCAGGAGTCAAATTCGGCAGGACTTCATTTGCTGGATGTCACAGCAGTTTTCCAGCAGCCTCCTGTCTGTCTTGTTCTTGCCCACTGAGCTGCTAGCCTAGTTCTCCCTGTCTTAGGTTCAGCAATGAGCTTGGGATTAAAGAAGCATCTTGGAAAGTGCAGGCTCCTCCAGGCCCTTTTGGATTTGAAGCTGGTCCTGCCCAGGGGCTTGGGGGCTGACCAGAAGGCTAGCCCTTCTAGAAGAGTCCAGAAGAGTGGCTGTGGGCTCAACTGTCCCTTGCCATTCCCTGCTGCCTCCTCGCCTGGGTAGACTGACAGGACAGTGTGTTCTCTGCCCCCAGTGTTGGGAAGCATTTCCCGGACCTCGTTTGATGCCTGGCACTTAGCAGGCAAGTTCCTGTGGGGGGAACGACCTCCAAAGGTAAAGGCATAGAGCTGCTACCTGGCAGGAGGGGACGTTTCCACCAGTGTCTCCTCTGGCTCCTGTGCTTGGAGGAAGTCAGCAATTACAGATGTGGCCTCAGATAATTCGTCCTTTGGTCCCTCGGTACTCCCAGGTTCCACGAGGCCCTCAGTGATGCAGCCCCAGGGGAAGCTGTGAGACCCCGTGGCCTCCCTGCCAGGCAGGGCAGCCCAGTGCACCCACACCATGTCTTCCCCAACCCGTGACTGCTCACCCACCCAGACCGGCACAGACACCCTCCCATCTATTCGTTCCCTCTGCATCTCCCAGTGGATGTACTTGTTACACATGTTGGACCCTGACTCACCTTGGTAAGGTGGGGTGCGCGGTGGTAAGAGTTCGCGTTTCATTGGGTGGTGTGACAGCTGAGACCCGTTTCTGCCTTGCCCAGGGGCTCCTTCCCCGAGTTCTCTGGGAGCTGCCGTGGCTAAGTGGTCAGCATATCTGGCTTGGGACGATCCTGTGCAAGTAGAAACACACAGCAGAGGATGCTCCGAAGCCGCCTCCTGGAGACCCGTCAGCATGAGGTGCCTACATTCTACCAGGTGAGTGAGCGTGGGTGACTGGGTGGGGGAGCTGGGAGGGGTGCTGGTGTCCTGTGTGTGTGTGTACATTTGTGCACATGTGTATGCACCTGTGCGTAGAGAGAGAAAGGGAAGAGTGAATGACGTGTGAGAAATGTGTGCCATGAACAGTGAGATAGAGCACCTCAAAGCAAAAGCAGCCAGAGAATTTCTTTCAAGTGTCACTAATGCAGTTGTTGAGATTCCCTAAAACATAATCCTTCTCTGTAAGGGAAAGGGAAATGTTAAAAGAATAAGAAAATGGAGTGGGGGCAGGACCCTCTCCCCTGGGAAGCAAGTGCCATCACTTGATTCAGAGTGCCACTTACGAACCCAGCTTAGAGACTCGTACCCAAAGCTCCACCAGGAACACCTGCTCCCAGGACCTTGTCTCTCCTGCCCAGCCTGGATTCCCATACCCCAGATGACCATTGCAGTGAGATTCTGGCACCCAGGTCCGGGTCACCTTTCCATTTTACCTGGAAACAGCAGGGCCACAAGGAGAAGGCTGGCAAAGGACAGGAGCAACCGTTGCCTCATGTCTGCCAAGCGTACTGCAAGCCAGAAAGGTGGGTGGGCAGGCAGCAGGGCTCCTTTTACGGAGTGGGGCTGGGTGTGTGGGCCCGGGGCGTGGGAAGAGCTGTGTTCCAGAATGACTTCCCATTCTCAGAGGACACATGTGGATGCGCTACTATCCCGCTGCTGGTGGAACAAACACTTGAGCCACGTATTTCAGGAAGCAGATAATATGCCTGAATGCCTTGGTTGGGTTTGGTGAATAAGGAAGATCAGAGAGTAACAGAAAGATGAAAGGCAGTGAGGGGCAGAACAAACATGAATTATCATAAAGTTACCAATGTCATCAAATGCTTCTCAAAAGTCCCCTGATGTTCATGAAAACAGTGACAAAAATAAACTGCCATGTTGATTCTATCCTGCCTGCTGAATGTGTTTATTGTTTTAGTGTTAACAAATTATGCATAAAACGTACAACACAACAGGTGCGACGTGGTTTTGCAAACTATCACTTCCTGAAGTTATATACAGAGTTCCAAGGCTGCTCAAAACGTTACTTCCTTTTTCTTCTCCCTGAATCTCTCTCCCTGTTTCTTGGTCCCCTCCTCTTCTCCTCCTCTTTGGACTCCCTGGCTTTCTATTTTAATTTATTTGTGTTGTCTTTATTTTTCTCTCTCCTTTTTATTTTCTTTTCCCCAAGACACCTCCTGTTGATGTCACTGAGTCCAATTCAATTCTTATAAAAAATTAAAAATAATCTGTGGTTGAGTCTGGGTTTTCTCCTGTAGTGATGTGCAAGCAGAAGGCTTGTCTTCCCTTCTCCTTCATCTTTTTAAAAATGTTAACCAAGTGTGTGTTTCTTATTTGGCTGCCTTAGCTCAGGCATGCATGGAACCCAGGCAGGCTGCTCTGGACTTAACTACAGTGATGAAGGCTTTGATTGAAGAGTTTTGTAATCACATAACATCCAATATAACATCAGCGACCTCTGGAAAAGATAGTGCTTATCTCATATGTCTCATTTGCAGGTACATTTGGAACCAGACAGAGAAAACATCTTAGATCAATTGTGTAAGTGAAAACAGTTATATTCAGTCGGGTGCAGTGGCTCATGCTTATAATCTCAGCCCTTTGGGAGATCACCTGAGGTCAGGAGTTCTAGATCAGCCTGACCAATGAAACCCCGTCCCTACTAAAAACACAAATTTAGCTGAGTGTGGTGGCACGTGCCTATAATCCCAGCTACTCAGGAGGCTGAGGCAGGAGAATTGCTTGAACCTGTGAGGTGGAGGTGTAGGTGAGCTGAGATAGTGCCACTGCACTCCATCCTGGGCAAAAAGAGTAAAGCTCCATCTCAAAAAAAAAAAAGAGCAAGAGAAAAAGAAAATCCTTATTCTCTACCTGGAGAAAGCTGGGAGCAGATAAAGAGGCAGCAGTGACGCTAGAGACCTGGGCATGTGGGGAAGCAACAAGGAAGGACAGAAGGTTTGCAGCTGTGGACAGGTGAGCACAGCACGGTCTCAGAGCACTAGGTGCTGGTCAGGGAGAGCAGGAGCATCGTTCACATCCTTTCCCTTTCAGGAATTAGGAAATCTTCCAATTTCAGGAGCACAGGGGGACGCCGTGGAGGTAAGTGGCAACTGGCCCATGATAAGTTTCTTTAATCATTTATTGCACCAAAGTTTGACAATTGGATGTTGGAAGAACATAGATTGTCAAGAAAGGAGGTAGATAGCTGCTGCTATCTCAACCCTAAATGAAAATTTATTTGCTCACCTACATACTCTATATATTTTTTTGCAATCTAGTTCAATAGCGATTTCTTACAGTTGTATTTATAATTGTTTAAACTTGGAATGGGGATATTTTATAAAAGTGACAGAAATTTTGGAATATATTGGTAACATTTCTATATATTTTTTATCTTCTCTACAAAAGGAAAGAAAAAACAAACCTATTCCACTATTTACGTATTAATAATAATGAATCATTAATCAAAATCATGACTGATAATATAACAGCATTTGAGTAATTTCTACCCAGGTAATGAAATCTTTTTCTAAGTCATTAAAATTATTTGATCTAATTTAAATGAAGAAACTGAGCCAAAAATAGTTATATCTCACTTCCTTTGTCTAGATCTTAAGATAAAATAAGCCCACTCTCCCACACTTCTGAAAAGAACAACCTTAAAAAAGTGCATCCGGAGAAAACATACTTCTGCCTTTTGGTAGACAAAAGCTGGTGAAGTCATAACAGGTGATTAATGTTACATCTGCCCCAACTCGACAGTGTTCTCAGCTCCTGTCCTCTTCCCCCAGCTTTCTGTGTCCTAAAAAAAAAAAATTTGAACAATTCTCTTGCTAAAAACCACATCCATCCTGAAGGGTGAAGGATGGCAGAACCCATTATAGAATATTCTGATAATTGTTTCAAGACTTTTTCTTTGGTACATGCAACTAATAAATAGTATTCTTTGTGTTTTTTTTAAGCTGCTTAGTATGTGATATCTCGACTCATTTGTACTAAGTAGGTGGGCTAAAGTAAAATGATCAAGATTTTATTGTCAAAGAAGATGTTCTATAAATACATATTCCTGAAGGATCTTATTGGAAAATGCACACACATGCAGGGAATAACATTTTCCACACTGGCACATCTTCCTTCTTGCCTCCCAAGTAGCATTCTGTTAAATCCTGGAAAATATGAATGCAAGAAGAAAAACCATATTGTAGGCCAGTTTGGAATCAGAAGTTTTCTGCAGAATCAAATTTAGACTCTTCTTTTGCATTATTAAATGACCCAGTGAAACTTTCCCTGGAGGGGACTCACAGACGAGTGAAGCAAAGATTCCTATGTAGATTTTCTTATTCTTAAATTTGAGATTTTAACACGCTAACAAATCTTTAAGAACAACTAGCACATCATTTACAGAGGCACAGCTTACCCTCTAGGGGAAAAAATTGATACATGGAAAAGTAGACAGAAAGATTAGAATCTTCTTTGGAAAAAGAAGGAAGAATTATAGAGAAAACTGCTTTTGGAAAGCAGTTTTCTCTATAATTGGATCATGGTAAAAGAATCAGCTTTGAGAATTGGGCAAAAATATTATTTGGTATTTTGTTTCTTTTTCATGCACAGAATCACAGTATGAATTGTGTTTTCAAAGGTCAATTTGATGTGTAGCAATTTCAGCCATCCCAAGAGCACTCTTAAGGCTGCATGTAAAAGAACACAGGAAATCCTTATGTGAGTTCTAAGGCATAAACACCATTTTTTGGAAATAAAAACATGGCATTGTTATCATCTGAAATATAACTGTTGAGGTTGCCAATTCTTTTTTTGAGACAGAGTCTCACTCTGTCACCCAGGCTGGAGTGCAGTGGTTCCGTCTTGGCTCACTGCAACCTCTGCCTCCTGGGTTCAATTGACTCTCCTGCCTCAGCCTCCCAGGTAGGTGGGATTACAGGCACCCACCACCACACCCAGCTAATTTTTGTATTTTTAGTAGAGATCAGGGTTTCACCCTGTTGGCCAGGCTGCTCTTGAACTCCTAACCTCAAGTCATCTGCCTGCCTCAGCCTCCCAAAGTGCTGGGATTACAGGCATGAGCCATTGCACCCAGCTGAGGTTGCCAATTCTGATGAAACAATCACAACATTTTAGAACTGAAAACTGTATTAGAGATCTAACCAATATTTTAAGAAGAGGAAATGGAAGATGAGTGAAAAAGCGATGTATCTATATGTGTGAATTAAAGACTAAAGATCTGAACCAGGCTGTGCTCTGCACATACTAAGATAGTTAGCTGAATGGAGTCCAAGTAAATAAATAAAGGGGTGCCCACCGTTGAAGGGAAAGGCAGCAAATTTGTTTGGGAAAGGGCAGGAATTCATGGTGGTCATAGACATAAGAAATACAGTTTTTCACAGGAATGGTGATGCTTTTATTCTTTTCTCCCTGTTGCTTTTATTTTTGTATGTGTATATTTTCTCATAACTGGAAAGCTTTTCAGCCCCTTCCTAGTCCTCAGAGGCGGACCGTTTTTTTCTCTCTGATTCAGCCGCAAAGGCAGCTCTACCACTCACCATGTGTCTGCTTCTGACTTTGTCATGTTGGGAAGCCTCGGGACCCCACCTCCTTTTACCCACAGGGCCCTCTGTGCCTATGAAAATGAGGCCCCTGGAGTTATTGTGGGTGAGTCAACATATCACAACCTAAAATTCAGGAATAAGAAAATCTACATAGGAATCTCTGCTTCAATCATCTGTGAGACTCCTCAAGGCTAATTTTCTTTGGGTCATGTGGTTATGTAAGAGAAGAGTTCAAGGTTGATTATATGGCAACTTCTGAGCACAGACCTGGCTACAATATGTTTCCTCTTTTCACAGACATATTTTCCAGGCTTTAATAGGATGTCTCTTGAGAGCCAAGAAATAGAATGTGCCAGTGTTGAAAATCTTAACTCCTGTACATTGAAAATTTCAGGTTCTGCACTTTTGGATATTTCAGTAAGGACCTGCGTGGTGGATCTTTTCACCCAGAGATTTTCTCTGTCAATCTCTTTCTCTCTAAACTTCGAATAATAAAAAATGCACACATTATAAAGTGAAAAATATTCAAACAATCCTTTTTTCTGTTGATTTTCATTAGGCACATTTCAAAGAGTTACTCATGGTTCATTGTGAACAACAGACTTCAGATCATCCTTTGGAGATAGAAGATAAGTAGCAATGTTATTCTGATTGTGGTGTATCAAGTACAAATTATTAAATATTCCCTGCCAATTCTGGAAACAATAAAATAGAAAAATATATCTTTGTTCCTTTACCATTAAGACCTGAAATTAAAGAAGGGTGACTTTGTGATTTCTTTAAGTACTGAGAATAGCAGTTCATTAATATGACTATGTGAATTACACCTGGGGGTGGGGGATGCTGTTTCAGAATCCAGCCTCTTTAGAAAGCAGAATACAACACCAGGACAGCAAGCCAAGCCCAGGGCTCTTCAGAGAAGACCACGAAACAAGGCCATTCAATGTTAGCTGACAATGAGACAGCTTTGCTTTCTGCTTGTTATCATCTCTCTGGCCATTACTGCTGGTGGCATTGATTAAAGTCCGCAGAAGTTCCTTGCTTTGCTCTACATTTATATGGGGAAGTACAGGATGGCCTTTCTTGGCAAGGCATCAAATTTTAAAAGGAGACAAAAATTAGCACAGGGTCAACAGTTGAGTCTGTGTTTAGTGTTGTTTAGCAGAATGCCCATACAGCAGGAGAGGAAATCAAGGCACACATCAGATAAGTCACCTTCCCAAGGTCACCTGCTAGGCAGCAGGACTGGGATTCAAGGCTTTGTGTATTTGTATAGCCATGCTCAGCTGCCTCTGAATTGCACTTGAGATGCGGGGTCTAGGCCTGGTCTTGCCTGATATCCTGACTGATGTTAGGAAAACCACTAGTCCCTCTGAACCTTAGTAACAATGCCTAAAAGGTGAGGATAATGATACTTAAAATGCCTAGATTCAAGAGTTTATGGTGAGGATCACAGGAGATTATGTATTAAAAGTAGTTTATAAAATATAAAATATGAGAATAACAAGGGTCTAAATAATGAAATATGAGAATATAAGAATGAAAAGGGCCTAAAATAGTATGAGAATAAATGTCACATTGTCCTATAGCGTGTTCTGTGTCTTGCATTTGGAGTATGCAAATGCATGTGGCATCCTTGGGGGTGGTTTAATAGTTTTCTCTTTTCCTGTAATTGCAGTGATGAGATCTAGGGGCTTACCCAGATATGCACTCAACTTTCACCACAATATTTTATAGATGGAATAGCAAGTACACATCACCATCTACGTAAGACGCCTTGGAGGAAAACAACCTAAGGCAGTGTGTGGACCTTCCAGGGTCCAGATTCTAATAAAGCAACTCTTTAAAAGGCACTTATAAAATTCTCAGGGTCATTTGAACACAGATTGGCTGTTAAATTGTATTAAAGAACAAGGGCTGATTTTTTTCCAGGGCCTAATAGTATTGCGGTTCTGTTTTACAAAATGAGTTGTTTTCCTCCTGATTGAAGTATTTTCAAATGGGCATCTTTGAAATAATTTATTTTTTATTTGAGATAATCTGGGAGAGGGTCTCACCAAGGGATGAAACAAGACTAACCCCATGTCGGGGCCGGGTGATGGCTACGCGAAGGGCCATTATGCCGTTTTGGCAGAAAGGGCACAATCCAGCCTCCGTTTTACCCTGAAAAGGTCAGTATGATGCCGCTTACCAGGACTAGAAGCTCATATGTGGCATTGTGTCCTTCTATTAGGAGGCACAGGTAGCAGGTTTCTTTCTGGCTTATTTTAATCACTGTCGACATTCCTTAGCTAGATCCCTGTTTCCCTGCGTGTTTGCAAAATGGCGACACTCCTCATTCATTAGCTGCACTACTTTTAAGGAGAGAAGCTTTTGACTACCTTAAAATCTGGTTTGGAAAGGCAGGCAGGTCGAATGTTTCTATCACTCCCTTTCACCAGCTTTCAGGATGAAGAAGCCACACCTCGGCGCAGGGCTGCTCTCTGCTGTCCTCTGCTGGATGGGCATCTCCACAGACACCCACTTGATCAACCCCTTAAGTTCCAGTGGGTTCCCAAGCTTGTCATCACACATCACCTCTTTTGTTTTTCTCCACAGAGGTCGATGTTTTGAAATATAGTGTATTCCAAACAAGGCACACTGAACATTGATTTGAGTTCCATTTTAATTTTAAAAAGACATATGTAACTTGTTGAGCAAAACTTTTGATCAGAAAAGAAAACCAGTATTAGGATAAAAATGATGTTTTTCTTAGGTTTACAGCTGATTAGGTAGATATATTTTGTTGTTCAACTTGTAAGGCATTGAAACTCATGCTTCATCTGCATTGCTGTCCTCCATTGTCACAACCAGAGGCGGCCTTCCAGCCTGTATTCTTCTTCGATCTCCTGGCTTGGCTTTGCATCGACGGGAAGCTCAGCAAACCTCGTTTGATAAGGATCCGTGATTGCACTGGGGACGGCCTTGCTGCAAAGCCTGAGGAAGGAAAGTCACCGAGGTCCTGCTTCCAGGGACTCTAGGGACCAGCACGACTGCGTTTCAGTGTTTGGTAAGATTCAGTAAGCTCTCATCCCATTTCTTCAAACAGCATACATAGGTGTTGGGGCATCTTCCAATTTTGTATTCTTGGTTTTGACACTTCTTCCGGCAGCGGGCAGTCCCATAACCACATATTCTGTCCAGTTCAAATTCACTTCTCACTAGATAACAGGATACGGCGCTGTGATTAATTGTGCACTGGCACCAAAAGGCAAGGTTTTGGCAGGTGTTTTCAGAGGGAGACAGAATGCTAGTGCATGGTGGTGGTGCTTTTCCTGCACCCCCATCCTCCACTTCCCTAGATGATTGACTTGACCCTCTGATTCCCAACCAGCATGGATTTTATTTGAAAATATACATCAGTCCATGTCACACCTGTTTTCAAATTCCCTGCAATAGTTTACTATAGCTTTTTGATGAAATCTAACCAAGCCCCTTACTGGGTCTCCAAAGCAATCTTGATCTGATCTTGTGCCACCTTTTTCAAACTCATGCTGTTCCACTGTGGCCCTCACTCTGTTCCAC